CAATCGATACCACAAAAACCCTGACAGAAAAACTGATGGAGTTCCACCTCAAGAGCAGAGCTGCTAAACTATTCCCACTGAAAGTCCCCAACCATTCAAATAAGAAAACTAACTTCCAACCCCATTTATTCAAGGCCAGCTTGCATACAATTACTACTGCTGTAGCACCATCACTGTGAGCCAGCTTAAAGAACCCTTTTTCTGGTGTTCACCCTTCAAAGTACTTACAGATAAAACTGACTATTTCAGCCATGCTTTAGCTCAGCCCTCAAAAAAACTATCATCCTTTACTACTCTGACCAAGTTAAATGTCCTTTTGCAGATCCACTAAAGATCACATTCATCCTTCCTGCATGCGTCTGTGCAAAATTCGATCCATCAGATGAACTGACACCACCGATACACACAACATCAAGAGCGCTTCTCCTTTTCTGAGACTTCACCTATGATCACATCTGCTTTTTCTCATCACATGACAAAGCTGGGGAAGACCACATGCTCCATCCTTTAAGTGCAATAACAACATAGTTATAGACAGGGCTGCTGAAAAAAAACAACCAATTACCAATGTTAGCATCTGATAGCTATGTATGAACTCAATTATCAAATTAGCTTTTATAAGCAGCGCTGTTTATGCAATATCATCACTTAACACCTGATTATTTATATTATCTTCCCTTAAAAGGCTAAAATTTACAGCATTGGGGTTGAAAAGGTGAAGGTTTTTAATGGGACACATCAAAAGTGACCAGCAGCCGCTTTGTGGTACACCGTCTCTCCCCAACAGCCTTACCTTGGCTTTACCAGCAGATGGTACTCATTACCTGTGGCCATACAGTCATTCCCGGAGCACTAATTGCTGCTGTCTAACAACGCGCACCGGTTTCAAACTCACCTCACTTTCAGCATAACTCTTCTCTCCGTGAACCCAATTCGGTCCCCCCCTCAGTGTGCCCCCCCAAAACCACACACCCCGGCCCCAGACTCGGCCCTGGCCCGGGGCCC